ATGCAGGAGGCCGCCATTCAGTGATCCTCATCATTGATGTTTCTATCTCTCTCTCCCTCTCCCTTCCTCTCTGAAATCATTTTTTTTTAAATTTCTTTTTAAAAGAAGTGCCGGGGCTGACCGGCAGACCCTGAGCGATGGATGAACAGGTTGCTCTGACACACGTTTCTGTGAAAGAGAGGGCTAAGGCACTACTTGGCTATCGCCCCCAAGTAGCCCTGTTCGCCTGCCTCCTTTGGCTTTTATTCAAACAACAGCTTGAACTCAAGTAAATCTCTAGATACAATCAGAGGGTAAGTATCCTTGAGAAAGTACAGTATATGCTTCTATAAGGTCGCGTCTTTAAAGTCTAAACATAGAGATTCTAGCAAAACATCCCGGGGGACCGGACTTGTTTGGAAAAGTCAAGGTAGGGTCCCGCCTTCGGCAAAGTCCCCCCGGAGGCCCCCGACCTTTCGGAGAATCCTCCTCACAGACATTCCAACCAAGTCCCTTGTGTCCCCACAAAGAAGGAGTGACAGAGTCCATTATTTTTTAACATAATTTCTTCCTTAGAAAAATGTTGCCAAATAGGACAAGAATCCCCAGGTACGTTTTAGCCTTCCCCTTTTGATATGTATGCAGCTCTAACAGAGAAAACTGCTCCTGTTGTCCACAATACATGTACTTCTTCGCTCAGTCCTAGAATGTACACAATGCCGTTTCAAAATTACTGACCTATGTCTGAAAAAAGCCTACTGATTAGAATTCAATATAAGTTTCAAGATCTTTCTGTCTTCAGCCTGAGGGCATATAGTAAATAGTCTTCATTACTTGGGCTAGTTATAGCCCCTTTCTGTGTGTGTTATTCATTTGAAATGTGCTTCAGATCATTTGTTTCTTTTTGTTATTAATTTTATAGCTTCCCCCCAAGCTTGATTTTATTAATTTATTTTCTGAGAATATAAAACACTGACTTCCAATCATTCATTTTATAAATGGCCTGGGAATGTGAGATGCTGGTTCCAAGGCCACTGAGTGAACAGCAGGGCGGGGGAGAGGACTCTCTCCCTTGGGTGTTGGGTGTACCAGCTCCCACAGTGGTCCTGTCTCCATTTTACCACCTTCCCTCAAAACTCTGGGCTTCTCCAGGTCTGGTCATGGGTGTTCATTAGGGTCCTGTAGCTGGACTTACTTAGGTGGGTGGTTGGATTTATTACGGTTTCAAATTTGTGTAGTGTCAGCTCCTCTTCAGTGATTTACATAAGACCCTCCCAGTCCAGTTTGGCAGTTTCTTACAAAGTTACACTTACAAAACCAGTCATCCCATCCAAGAGAAATGAAAGCACATGTCTACATAAAGACCTTTACACAAATAATTATACTAGTTTCATTCCTGATCACCAAAAAGGGGAAACAACCTAAATGTCCATTAAACGAATGAATGAATTGTCATGCATTCATACAATAGAATACTACTAAAATAGAAGGGAACACACTCCCAGTACATGCAACACATGGAAAAACCTCTAAAGCATTATGCTGAGTTAAAAAAACCTTCTGGAAAAGACAAAACTCAAGAAGTTAGGAAAGTGATTGCCAAGGGCTTGAGGGTAGGGGACAGTGACTGACTACAAGGGAATTTTTGTGTGATGGGAATCCATAATAATAAAAGCACAATATGCTAATTAGACCAGACATCCTTCTGGACATCCTTCCTTCCTGACAAAGCCAGGCAGGGGCGGAGCCCCTTGCACGAATTTCGTACATCAGGACTCTAGTTTTATATATTTAATTGTGGCAGTGGTTACAGGATGGTATATGTTTGATAAATATGTAGACAGTTCAACTAAGAAGGTTGAATTTTACTGTGTGTAAACTATACCTTAATAAATCTGACTTAAAAAAACAAACACTCAGCATACCAATTCTACTCTCTCTTACTCTCACCTCCGGTCTGGATCTCTAATTCTAGGGGGAAATGCAGCTCTTTTACTGGTTATGGGAGCCCTCTGGGGGAAAAGATTAGGATGTGTTAGGTGTGAGGTACCTGTGGGACACCCTGAGAAATGATATAATGAATTGGCATTTTAAAGAAAACTAATAAGCCAGAGAGCTTAATATGGATAGATATGAGGGAAGAAGAGAAAACTGGCCAGAAAAAAAGCTGGGTTGGTGCAATTTAACTAGGTTCTTGACTGGGGTTTTCTTTAAAAGGGTGGATTCATTCATTCCCTCTCAACATTTATGGAGTAGCTCAATTGTTGGGCACCGGGGTGCAACAGTGCCATCTAGTGATAAGATGTAGGGATAAGATGGAGAAGAGACAGTAATAAATAATGATTGTAAATTGGGAAGTGAGTGCCAAAGCAAATCAGCAGGTGCAGTGACTGGGAAGTGCAGGGGACCAGCATCCAGAGCAGCGTAGATGGCAAGAGACCTGCTGAGAACTGAGGATAAGAAGACATTGTCAGAGGAAGGGAAGAAGGAGAGCTTGACAGCAAAGGTCAGCATGGCTGGAGGTAGTGGTGTAGGGGTTAATGATAGGTGATGAGCTTGAAGAGGAAGAGCCTTGGGGCTCCATTGAGGGTCTGCAGTTATGGGGAGCTACTGCAGTTTTACAAGCACAGGAGTGGCATGATCAGATCTGTGATTTATAGAGGAGCTGGCTGCAAAATGGATCCTGGATGGGAAGGTAGTAGCCAGGAGGCCTATTAGGGTAATGGTGAGATCATCCAGGTGACCGATGGTAGTGGCCAACGGAAGGAAGAGAAGTGGAGAGGTTTGGAGGCTATAGGGAGAACTGTCGAGATTCAGTAATTGAATATTGGAATAGAGCGGGGAGGCAAAAGTCAAAGACGGTACCTTGGACTCTGGTTTGGGTGGGTGGGTAGATGGTGATGTCATCCACTGAGGGGGAGCGGGTTCAGGGGAAGAGATTAGGATGTGTTAGGTGTGAGGTGCCTGTGGGACACACAAGTGGAGAATTCATAAGGCAGTTTTATACATAAGTCTGGAGCTCAGAAGAGCAAATGTGAATGGAAGGTGAAGCCATGGGCATGGTTGGGAGTGCCTGGGGAGAGGGACCAGCTAGTAAACCAGGTAAAAAACCCTAAGTCACAACATTTAAGGGAGAAAAAAATAACTCACAAATGAGGCTAAGAAAAATGGACTAGAGAGCTAGGAAAAAAAACAAAGGCATAGGAAGAAATGAATGAGAAATATTTTTTAGTGCTATTAAAAGGTCAAGTAAGATAAGGGTGAGGAAGGGTCAATTAGATTTAGCATCAAGGAGGTGGTAATCTTGGTGAGAAGAGTTCCAATGGAGAAATTGAAGCCAAAACCAGACTGCAGAGTAACTAAGAGGTAAGCCAACAGTCCAGCCCAATTCCTAAATAATACAGATTCCAACCTCTCATTTGATTACAAAAAATAAAAAAAAATTTCTAATGGTCCAAAGACTGAAACATAAAAAACAAAGTAATAAAAGCACTAGAGCCCAGCAGGTATGGCTCAGTGGTTGAGTGTCAACCTATGAACCAGGAGATCATGGTTCGATTCCTGTTCAGGGTATATGCCCAGGTTGTACGCTTGATTCCCAGTGGGGGGCGTGCAGAAGGCAGCTGATCAATGATTCTCTCTCATCATTGATATTTCTATCCCTTCCTCTCTGAAATCAATAAAAATATATTTTTAAAAAACACTAGAAAATATGATATTTAAAAAAATTATCTTAGTTGGAGAAGACTTCCTAGTATGACACAAAACACAAGACAGTAAAGAAAAGTCTGATAAATTTGACTATCTTAAATATTTTTCTAAGCTGTCACAAAACAACATAAATGAAATAAAAACCAAATTATAAACTATTAAACTTTTTGAACTCATATTTTGGATGAGGACCAATTTCTTTAATATATTTACAATTCAATAAGAAAAATGAACAACTCAGTAGAACAAGGAGGCAAAGGAGAGGAATACTGTTCATAGAGAAGAAAACACAAATGGCTCTTGAACATAAAAACAGACACCCAACCACATTCAACATAAAGGGGAAAATTTAAACCACATCGTGATTTTTTTTTTTCACCTATTAGATCAACTTTGTTGTCTGATCATTGTGAGAAACAGGCACTGTCATACACGCCTGATGGGATTGTACATTTGGACAACCTTTATGGAGGACAATTTGGCAATACTGCCCAACATTACCCATGCATATACTCTGACACAGCAATTATGCTTCTAGAAATTTACCCTCCAGATTTACTTGCATTGTGTAAAATGATGAATTCACTGTAACTATGTAATGGCAAAGGTTAGAACCATTTTTGTATAGAAAAACATGGGGTAAGGATATTACATTATGTCTATCCTTACCGGTGTCTGATCCTGTAAGAAGTTGAGGAAATGGGACTAGAGTTCCATGAGAGCACAGATATAAATGTATCTTTGATAGTCATCCGTTTAGGGGCAGAGATCGGAATGAGATAGGATCAGTTCATCATAGAAGAGAGTGGTCTGGACGTTCTTTGAGGACCAAAATTTATTCATTTCTGTATGCCCGGGACCAAACATTGGTATATAAATGAAAGAGCTGGAGAGCCCAGGAAAGGTGAAGAGAGAAAAGAAGCCGAAATGGTGTGGTGATACGAAAACCCGAGAGGGAGTCGGAGACTGCGCTGGGCAGAATAGAACCCTCCTGAGCCGGAGCGACAGTGCAGACCTCTGAATCAAACTGGGATGTGCTCCGCCTTTGGACGTCTCGTGCTGCAGGAAAACAGACCCTCAGTTTCCTCATCGGACGTGGAGGGAGTTGTATTTCACCTGTAAAGTCCCGGCTCCCGCGCTGCCTCGTAGACACCCAGACTCCCCGCACCCTTTCCGCGTCAGTCTCCCAGGAGACCTGCGCCACTTCCGGCAGAGCAGGCGCGTCCTCGGAAGCCCCGCCCCTTCTCAGTGGGCGGCGCTGATTGGCCCGTTTGAAATGCGCCGGGCGCAAGCTCACCTGGGCTCGCTGTCGCGCCGCCCGGCTCCACTGAGCGCAGCGCCTCGGCCCCCCGCGTCCGGGTTCCCGCGGCGCTCCTCTGCGACCCTCCGTCCTCGCCAGGCCTCCCCGTCCAGCCCCGCGTCCCGCGTGCGCGTCTGGGCAGCGCGGAGCTTGCTGCCATGATGAAGCCAGCGTGAGTACGGGGCAGGGGGCCGGCCGCGGGGATGGGGCGGGCGTCTCCTCACGCCGCGGACCCTACATGCTCCATGGAGTCGGGCGCGGCGCGGAGACCCGGCCGGGGAGGTCGGCCCCAAGTCGGGGGCGTGGGGAGGCTTGTGCCACGCCGCCGGTTCCCGTTAGCTGGGCGGCCGGCACCTGGCTCTGGGCCGCCCCCGCCAGGCCTTTCTGAAGTCGCCCCTTTCCCTCCTGGCCGCCCGCGCTCTCAGGCGGCATTTTGCCGAGTTAGTGCGGGTCGTGTCGTGGGTGGGGTCGAGTGTTGAGCGCCGTGTGGGGGCCGGTTCGGGGGTCTCAGGCCCTGGCGTTGTGAGCGCTGCGGGCGTTCCCCCTACCCGCGCCTTGGCCTGGGGCCGAGCCCATC